CATCGTCAACCACCGCCGACCGTCGTCGACCACCGCCGACCGTCATCGACCACCGCCTACCTTCATCGACCACTGCCGACCGTTGTCAATCTCCACATACCGTCATCAATCACCACCAACCAGACGCCGTCAGTCGACATTGTAATATAAAAAATATAGTTACCATTTCCCGTCTGTGGGATAAGAGATTTTTGTAATCATCAATCAATAGTGGATTTTCGTAATTGGGTCACGCTTCATGATTTTTCCCTAAAGGGTTATCCACGTAAAAACTTTTGGAACCATCATCGCTTGTTTTCTCTTTCATCTGTGTGTATGTTGAACTTTCGTACAAAGCTAAGATAATAATCCGTTACTCTACCGTCGCAAATTTTCTAGCTCGCATCAATGGTGAAACCTCTACCAATAGTCCAGTGCCCAATAGACTATTGGGCAAGGGAGCTAGATGTCGGACGGGGAAAGATCTTCACTACCTTCTTTTGTCTAGCTGTATTACCCAACCAAAAAATTAATCCATAAACAATGGGCAAAGAATATATATATAAAAATTGAAATATAGGAGGAAAAAATTAATAAAACAGAGCGAGATCCTTACCAATACGTCTCCTAGTCTTACGAGCAGACTGATTGAACCATGTTTTAACATATCTCTGCCAATGTTTTTTAAAGTAGCCATTAGGCACCACATTATTGTGCTGCACCATGATAACAACAACAAAACCAATGATAACAATACATTAAGACAAATGTTTAAAAATACCACCAAGAACGAAGGGAATGACTTAAAACATATCCATTCTAATCAATCATGAACTCCTATCAAAAAAGACAATGACCTCCCATGTTGTTTGACTACTTTGGGACAATACATTATTTCCCTCTACCATCAAATCCTACTTGAAAAATGAGTACAGAGAACGTCATTCACCCAAAATATAACAAACATCACACTTTTATAGTAATTGTTCTCAACCCCCCAATTGTTCTCTTTTAACTGAGGTTCATATTCCCGACAACACCTCATCAATTATAACTACATATACTACCAATACCAATATTTGAATGGGTGTCACTAAAATTTTAATTTCAATTCATCTATTTTGCATGAGGAATGCCTCATATAAAACCATAATAATTCTAGAAAGTTCACCGCATAGAACCATCAATACTTCCATGATTAATTATATATGATTGAATGTTCCTCAAAAGGCAATATTGTTTAATCACCGGAATAAACAATCATTGAAAAATTGTGATGCAACAAAAGCCTTGTAACATATCTCATCCATAAAAAAATCATATTTAGAGGCTATAGCATAATTACAAAACTAATGTTTTAGCCTATATGAAATTAATTCTTAAACCTATATGAGTCAAAGCAGAAATGCACAATTGTCGAGTCAAATTTCACAACAAAACCCTTATATCAGACTCATCCATAATAAAAAACAAATCTAGTGCAATATGCGAGATTTCACTGCCAAAAACTTTAATAACACACGGAAAGATATCACTGATGTAGATATTTTGAACTAGGCTAACACTAAAGTGAAAGATTCAGGAAGGCAATCACACAAGGAAAGTTCTAAGGTATGCATCTTTTTTTATATTTTACTACAAGTTATGTCATTTTGTATAAGCAATAACATAAATTTATAAATGGATAGTCATTCACACTATGCTTTAACAAATTAAAGTGATGTAAGATTACTATTTTTCCTAATTATATTGAACATAAAGATCATCAGTTAAGTCTTAATATTATCTGTTTCTACCATAATGATGAAAACTACTCTAATATTTACCCATTATTGTTGTCTTCCTTTATTAGGATGCACAATAGTCGAATCACAACACAAATGCAGCAAAAGCCAAATCAAACATTTTCAAGATTAGTAAAAAAGACTTACAAAAACTTTTGAAGCAAAATAACCAAATCACATCACAAATACCCAATAATCGCAGCCATAAAAAAACTACATGTAGAGGCAATAGGCGAGATTTCACTCCTGGAAATTTCAAAAACTCAGTTTCACTAAAAAAATTTAAATAAATTTAAGAAAATTTTAGCCTGAAGATAAATATGAAATATTAGAGAAAAGATACTCAAAGATAACATCTCGATAGCCAAACAAGCAACCAAGCAAACAAGCAAGAATATAGAGCAACCAAGGAAGAATAGCGAGCCACCGAGCCAACGCCTACTTGCTGAGAACAAAGATACCATATCGAAGACAAAAAGAAGCAGAGATTAGAGAAGAAACACAAACAAAATACCCTAAAATCTAGCGATTGCAAGCCTTTCACGATTTTGAAAGAAGGAGAAAACTCCAAGAGGAAGAAGTGACCGAACCTGAAAGTTTTGGCATCAATTTTTGATGTCACATGTGTGGGATTTCCATCTGAGCTTATCGGGGTCATGATTCATGCATTTGTTGTTTCTTGTAGCTCGAGACACCCAATTGAGACATTTCGGCATGTGTTGAGGGGCACGCAACCAGGGTCATTTTGCTAGACTTTGGCTCTCTCTTAGGCGAAGGCCGGTCAGTATATTATTACTCGAATGGCTTTGATCGTGCCAGCGGGTCGCATTCATCTCATCGCGCACAAAAGTGGTTCAAATTGGCCCGTTTGCCGGTAAGTCAGTTCAGATGACTCCGGACAACGAAACAGACCACGTGAGTACGTCTGAATCTTCAATTTCACCTAGGGAGGTCATCCATTTTGCTACGGCTTCATGGGCGGGCTAACAATGCACAAATTATCATTTTTTGGGTCGATTGTTGAAAAAGTGGGTCGAATGACCCGGATGATGATACAAACCATGTGAACGTGTCTGAAACGTTGATTTTATCTAAGAAAACACTTATTTCACAGTAAGTCCATGTTCAGAGTTGCCGCCGTCAACTTTTGCCGGCCTCACCCCAGCCAGCTCTGACATCCCTCCTCTAGCTGCCGATTAAAGTCGCACACGTCCTCCCTTCCATGCGCAAGGACGAACCGCTGCCCCTCTTTCTTCTTTTTCTTTGCTCTCGGCCGGCGGTACTCCGGCTCATCTCCCCCTTGTCGGAAAGCTTCCAGCCGCTGGTCTGAGCTCCTCCTTCAAGCCGGCAAGTCTTAGCAGTCGTGGCTCCTTTCTTCTTTGCGAGGCAACCTGTGTGCAACGCTTCGCTACCCCTTCTTCTTCTTGGCTGACTGCACGCCAAGCATTCCCTCCTCTCTGGCTTCCCGCCTCACCGACATCGTACTTATGCTAGAGTAAATCAGTGAGGAGAACATTGGATTTTGGGATCTCCTCCACGTTTCCTCCGCTCCTGGAGTGCACCGCCGGTGAACTAACTTGCACAAATCGCTGTCCTTCATTCCTGGTGACCGGATACTTCGCCGAGCACCTTAACATTGTAAGACAACAAGCATTGCCGTTGTTCGAGGAGGTGTAAAGGTTATCCACCTCGCGGGAAAGGCCTCAGCCGACGCTTTTTCCCGCCAGCATCCTCATGGGTTCCCCTAATTCGTCAGTGTCGAGCGCTTCTCGAAGGTATATGTGTCAATCTCATTTTCATATGCTGCGATGTTTATTTCATATAATTTGCATACCTCTTGCCCTCACTAGCTCCTGCTAGTTTATGTATTTCATTGCGAGGTACGTCGGTGCATGGACAAGATGACGACAGCTTGGTGCAAGCAAGGAGAATGCGTCCACAATCGTCATGGTGGTGAGAT